TTCAACGCGCAGTGCAGCCACGTCTGCGGCCTGGTCTATCCAGGCTTCGGTTGAGGAGATTTGTAGGGCAGCCACCTGGTCTTCCCCCTCTTCATTTATAAGGCATTACAAACTTGATCGGTTCACTGCAGCAGACGCTTCCTTCGGCAGGAGGGTTTTGCAGCAGGTGGTTTCTACGCATGGATCACAGGCCTAGACTTCCCTCCCGAAGGGGACATGGCGGGTTTGGGTATGTCCCATTGGTGGAGGCTACATCTGTCATGCTGGAGAATGGGCGTTGTCTTACCTGAACGCCTTTTCTCAGCATGAAGATGTAGCCTCCACACCCGCCCTTGTTAGTGGGTCTAGGCTGAATCTTTTTTCAGGAGGAGTTGTTGTGTCAGACCATAGATGCTTCGCCTCGTCAAGCAAAACTGGGAAGGACTGCCCAAGGGAGGTGTGGCAAAAGTTTGGTCTTAGTCTAAACTGAGCAGGAAGGCTTCGATAACCCATTGGTGAAGGCTACATCTTCATGCTGAGAAAAGGCGTTCAGGTAAGACAACGCCCATTCTGTTAATGTAAAATTCTATAAAGTTTTGTTAACTTTACATTATGTGAAATTCTTGGCACCCTCCCTTACGAATGAACATGCCCCTGAAATCTGTGGGACTCCCATCCTGATGGCATTCTGGAGGGCATTAAAGACCTGTCAGGTTAGGGTAACTGAAACCCTTTGCTGGTTATGTAATAAGTCTTTCTCTATTGTTGGCCAGATTAATCATCTTGTTTATTTATAGTATAGTTTTATTTTGTCTTTTTAGCAGCTGTTCTTATACTGAAGCCACTCAGAGTTAATCTGGAATCAGTGACATCAAAATTGGATAAATAAAATAAAAATAAACTTAAAACTCTATACTCCTGAGCAGACATAAGACAAATAATCTGCATCTATTAGCTATCTTTACTGGTAAAAACTTTACTGTTTAAAAATTACTGATTAAAAATAATAATATAAAACATGCTCTCATGATTACTAATCCATTGTTATGATTTGTTTTAAAGACTAGATTATAGAATTTCCAGAAAAGTATTTGATAACACTACTTCTATACTTATGATAGAAAGCACTGTACATTGTAAAACTACTGATGTGAGCTGCAGGAGGCCAAGTCTTTTCCCCACTGCCCAGCTGCCATGTCCTTGGCTGCGCTGCTCCACGCAGGCTGCGCCTGGGGGTGACTCTCCGGGGGGGCTACTGGTGAAGAGGGGGCTGCGGGGGTAGGTGTGGCTGGGGTAACAGTGCGCGTGCCCAGAGAGGGCTCTGAGTGCCGCCTCTGGCACGCGTGCCATAGGTTCGCTACCACTGGTCTAATTAATATTTAAAACTACTGTAATTATTATTATTTATTTCATTTATCTGTTTAAAATAAATCTTCACATGCTAGTTCTTTCAATTAAATATTTTGACATATGCCTATGATATTTTAAATATGCTGCATATAATCTATTAAATTTGAAATATCTATTTCCGTGGAAGATTAATCTTACCTCAAATTTAAATCATTTAAAATGATTTAACAGACATGTAGTTTTCTTCTCTAAATTATCAATAATCAAATTGAGTCTTTAATTCAGAAAAAGCTTCGTTTAAATTAATATTAACATGCACATAATTGTTTTCTTTTTGTATCTTGGAATATTTTTTGTAAATTGAGTCTGTATTTAAATTGTGTACAGAAGCATGTTTAAATTATATTTGCATTCTGTTTAAAAAATAATGGTTAACATAAATTTGTTTTTTCTTCTTTTTAATTGTGTCCAATTCTTGGAGGCAGTTTTCTTGTTGAGGTTCTTCAGAAGTGGTTCGTAGGATTGTGAGAAAGTGATTTTATTTCATAAACTTATACAATTGATCACCATTCATCCAGTCAATTAAACTAATATAGATCAAAAGTTAAAAAAAAAAGTTTAAAAGGTGCACTTAAAAATAAGGCATGCTTAAATAAACAGCTGAGAAGAAAAGATGAAAGACTCAACCTTCTGATCGCTCCTACCTAGAATTACGATCAATATCTCTCTTCATGGAGATCATCCTAGGGTTGCATTGGGTCATTCTTAATTGCTCCCAGTCAAATCTGGGGGATGAGCAGCCAAATAGACGGCTTTGGTGGCATAATCAAGTGTTTGTTGGTAGAAGAAAAGAGATTACCTGTCGTTTAGCAGACAATCTTGGGAAAATTTACATAAACATAATAAAGGTTTGATAATGTGTATTCCCACCATTTTGAAACAATGAATTCAGTGGAGGTTACTTCTACCGTGTCTCCCCGAAAATAAGACAGGGTCTTATTTTTATGCCTCCAAAAGAGGCACCAGATCTTATTTTCAGGGGTTTTCTTTTATACTCATCTCTGGCACCGACAACCCTGCCCAGCCGGTCCACTTCTGGCCGAAGGAGCAGCTTCATTCCGCAGCTACATTCCGGTCTACATTTTGCAGTCAGGCCTTTCCGGAAGGCCACTGCAGCTGAGTACTGAGCTATGGATTGAATCCATACCTTAGTTCTCAGCTGCAATGACCTTCTGGAAAGGCCTGTGACTGAGAAATGCAGGCTGGCTGCAAAAGATGCTGCAGAAGAAGTGGCCCAGTGAGGAAAGGCCTGGCTGCAAGGTAAGTGGTGCAGGGCGCATGGAGCAGCTCTACACCCCTACCCTGCCCTACCTTGATTTTTAGGTGTGTGCCTCGCCCAAAAACTAGGGCTTATTTTGGGGGTAGAGCTTATATTAGGTCCATCCCCCAAAATCAAGTTAGCGCTTATTTTCGGGATAGACCTTACTTTCAGGAAAACACAGTAAGTAGTCATCACATTATGCTACAGTGATTAAGATACTGGACATGGTATTTACATATTGTAGCTATTTCAATTTTACTAACCAATTTTGTTCTTTTTTTGCTTCTCCTAGTCTACTTTGGGGTTGAAGGAATTAACCAATGTATTTTGAGAGTATTCCTTTGAAGATGAATACATTCTGAAGACTAGAAGGACACTTATGCAATACTACTGGCCAGCTGTTTATCTGATAACATGTAAATGACATTTTTGTCAGTGTAATGTATTTGTTATTTCTATTGGAATAAATATTTAAATTTTAAAAATTATATTGAGGCAAACTAGTGTTTTTTCCAGAATATTAGCATGTCTTTTATTTGTGCTTCAAGATGGATGAGTTTATTTATTTAGTCAACTGTCACAGTCACTTTGGATTTGATTTGAGTCTTGCCTTTATAATAATTAGAATCTGAAGTGTTAATTTTTTTCGCACCGTGAGTTGAGCAAGATCTTATTTTTAATGAGGGAAAATAATGCAATATAATATTCTTTATACCTGTGCTTCCCAAACTTGAGTTAATTACCCAAAATTGGATAAAGGTGTTTTTTCTTTGGATAATGATACACAAACTGATTACCCAATCACAACAGGACATTTAAATTGACTTAAAGTATTTTATCTATATTGAGTAAAAAGAACTTTCTGATAAGCATTTCTGGGTAATAAAGGGAAAAATTTGGGAAGCGCTGCTTTATACTAATATAATTGATTTCAGTAATGTTAACAAATCCATTGAACTCATTCAAGAATCCTAACAGAATCCTTGGCAAAATTATTAACTATCCAAAAGGTCAAGTGAAATTTTTGATTTTCTGGAATATTGGAAGATGTGGCATAAATGTAAATAATTAAATTGCAAGAAAAGCTTATTTTTTCTGGTCTTTTCACCTGCCTAACATTAGTGCAGGCCAGGCCTGAATAACTTAATGGACAGAGGCCCATTCTGATAAAAAAATAATGGCACATCTGTGGTGGCAGAATAGCAGATTATATTTGGCACATTGATCTCTACATTTAGTGCCAAGTGAGGCTGCGGCAACACCGGAGTTGACAGCAGACAAAAGGCTTGAAGGACTTTCAGCCAGAAACTATTACTTACAGATTATATAAAATTGGATAGGATTAGCTATTATCCAAGGAATAGAAAAAATTGTAGTGAATGTGAAGAGCTTGTAGAAATAGGCTAAAAATAACAAAACTTAAGCCAGATAAGTGGATAGTAGTTGGTTGTAAACCTGTATGAGCCAGAAGCATAATGTGGCTGCAAGAAAGAATAATTTTATGCTGCATCAACAGAAATATAATTGCTGGTCAAAAAAGTAATTATTCCACTTTATTTTGTATTGGGCAGAATAATATATTATGTCAGGTATTGAACTCTACATCCTGAGGTAGATTCAGTCCTGGAACATGTTCTGTGATCATGAAAATGAGTAGGGGATTAGAAAAAAGATTGAAGGATCTAGGTATATTTAATCTTGAGAAAAGATGGTAGGATGATGGGATATAATAGCAGTCTTTAAATATTTGAAAGGATGTCACATAGGAAAAGGTCAGGACTAGCTTTTCCTATTCTTCTAAAATACAGTATGTGGGATAATGGATTTAAATTGTAGGAAGGTAGATTCTTATAGAATGTTATAAGACAAAAAAGTAAAGTTTTAAAGTGGAAATAATTATCAAGATAGATAATTTATTGCTATCAAGCAAAATCTACATAGCCATTTGTCTGGGATGTTGTAGTTTGCAATCTTGAATTGAGTACAACTCTCATTCTATGAAATATCTATTTAAATAGTTCCAGGATAATTGAATAAAAACAGATAAGGCAAAAAATGATTTATCCTAGATTGTTGGTGACTACAAAGTTTCCCTTTGAATGTTACTTTTGGAATGACAATGTTGAATAAATATTTAGAATAATTTCAAGGTAGAAATGGCATAGGTGTGCAATACAGTTGCAGCGTGTGGAGACGACGTTTGCTTCCATTATAAACTCGCAGGATTTTTTTCTTTTAAAAATATTTTAATATATTAAATTGTTTCATAAAAATATAATTATACATTATTTATTAAAATTAAATTAAGTTTTGAAGTAAAATTATTAAAATATGTAATAAATATATTAAATACCATAAATAAGTTATATCAATGTCATAAATAAGTATATATCTAAAAAATAAATTCTCGCAGGAGAACAACCATGACATCTGTTTCAGATGTGAATATTTGATATGCCTGATTTAAAGCATTCAGGCATTACAGTTAACTTGTTATAGAAGGCGAATAACTCTTGACGTGGTCTCCATAAATAAAGTAAAATCTTGAAGAATAAAGTGCTTGATCACTATCATATTCCAAGCTCTCTGTTCTCTTAACTGTGCAGCAAGAGTTTTCTGAGTGTCAGGAGATGGTATGCTCACAGACTCAGGATTGTTCATCTGTTAAAGGAAGGGAAGAAGAAACAAAAGGTTGCTTTTTTATGTGCAAAATATTTTGCATATCTAATCTATAAATTACACTTGTTACAGAAAAGAAATTTTATTTTGGTATTTGGTAATTATATTTTATTTACATTTATTTTAACAGGTATACTCACTATATTCTTTAGTCAAAAAGTAAGCCAATTAATACCTCAATGTGGTTAGGATAGGGGCCCCTAACCCACGGTCCGTGGACCAGTACCGGGCCACGGCATGCTAGCAACCGGTCCGCACAAACAAGGAAAGCCCTATCTACAGGATGCAGACAGCACATAAAACCATGCTCTCTCCGGTCCGCAGAAAAACCTCTCCACATAACCGGTCCCTGGTGTCCAAAAGATTGGGGACCTCTGAGTTAGGACACCAAGCTAGAAAGGGGGAGACTGAGTTCAAGTCCTGCCTTAGCATGAAAGACAGCTGGATGACTTGGAGCCAGTCACTCTCAGCCAACCCATGTCACAGGGTTGTTGTGGGGAAAATAGGAGCAAGGAGTGCTGGTTATGTTCACTGCCTTGAGTTATTTGTAAAAATAATAAAGGTGGGATACAAATAAACAATAAATTAATCTCTATTGTAACCAATGCAGCAATTATGCCCATTGTCATTGTGATTAGGCCAGTGTTCCTGTGGCAGCCATTTTGAGAGTGATAAAAATCTACAGTCCAAATTTACCCATTAGAGATTTAGTTAATTATTATAGCAGCCATACAAAAGAGAGATTAACAACAGATTTAAGAAATAATTCATTAAAAATAACCCATAGTCTGTAGTCTGATAACATGCATGTTGATCAAAGTGATATTTTTTCCAGAACTTAAGATTTGTATATTAGACAATAACATTTCAGTTTCAGACATTGAGAATGAATTGAAGAAATGTGATCCTGCTCATTCTGCCAGGTATTTATATTTTTCAGTATCAGTATCCTACCAGATCACCAGTTGAGGTGAGACATAGATGTACCATTTATGATTGCTTCAGTTCTTGCTGGACAATTTCACAAGGTAATGCTGAGGAACACCTGTAGTACTGCCACTGTTATTGTGCTATATAATAGTGATAGCTATATTTTTATTGATTTATTTATTAAAGTGATTTATTGAAGTTGGCATCAGAATGTTGAGGACTCAACTTCAATAAATTACTTTAATAAATAAATCAATAAAAATACAGCTATTACTATTATATAGCACAGTGGCATCCAACCTTTTGGGCACCAGGGACTGGTTCCATGGAGAGAGCTTTTTTTGCAGACCAAAGGGGCTGTGGTTTCTCATGCTACCTGCATCCTGCGGAGGAGGCTTCACTTGTTTGTGTGGCCTGATTTCTGACATACTGCGGACCGGTGGCAGTCCACGGACCTGGGGTTGGGGACCCCTGATATAGCAGAACAAATGTGCAAGGTCAAATGTAAATACTGCTTACCATCAACTTCAAAGTTTCTGCCAGGTGCTGAGCACCTGTTGATATAGATACACTTCTTTGTGTAGTTTCTTCTATATATTCCAAGAATGTTCTGAATACATAGAGGCCACCTGAAAGTTTTCTTAGACAATTTTCCTAAATGAATGAAAACAAAAGATATTGTTATTTCCAATAGATCATTAAATATTTTACAGTACATATTATATCTAAATGTAATTAACTACATATTGAATGAACAAAATAATGATATCTTAGATAAAAACCCATCTCCAAGCTGAGGAGAAAGAGAAATGAGGTCTTGGAGAAACAGATCCATAGGTGTCCTCCAAGCTATGAGTAGATAAGGTTGCTTTGGATCTCCAGGATTCAAAGCCCTCTGTCTTCCTCCAACATGGATATGAAACATTTGGTATATCAACTTTCATGTATAAATTATTTTGGTTACTTTCATGTCCCTGTTATTCTTCTGGTTGCAAGATGAAACAGTTATGAGAGGTTTGCTCTGCTTATATACAAAATGTTTCAAGATATTACAAAAAAGCATTAACCTTTCCAATGTATATTAATATTCAACTTGCCTTTTGGAATCCAGGCTGGTAGCATCCATCTTCTTTAATTATCTTTGGAAGGTTGAGATTATTTTGTGCCATGATTTCCAATGTACCTTTACAGGCATTTTGCTCCTTGCACAGCTGGTAAAACATAAAGATATAATTGATTGCAGGTGATCCACTATAGTTTTATATGGCTTTCTGACTCTTTCAATCAGTCTATATTAATCTCTTCAAATCAAACTTGTTTTGGAACTATAATTACTAAAATCCCAAGCCATGGTAATTAGCAAATGTAAGAATGGTAAACCTTGCATATCTGGAAGTCTGATGGTGCATCTAGTAAAGTTACATGTAAATGTAACATTTGACAATTTTAACAGCAGGCAGAAATCTGGAATGTTCTACCTACCTTACGTTCAAACAGTAAGGTTTGAAATTTGAAATAGTTTGCCGTTTGTATTGCTAATGGTTGGTTGTGGTAGGTTTTACACTAACTTAAACCTCACAAAACTTATTTAAGTATTTTAACTAATATGCTTAGTTTTCTTCTGTGTTATGCAAGTGTGTTCTTCAATGAAAAATAACCTTATAGACTGCTGTTGCAAATAAATAGCCAGCACTGATTGTGGGAGGAGATGAACAACCCAATCACCCCATCACCTGTTTTGAGTTTAAAATAGGTTGCTCTATATCAGGGGTCTTCAAATTGGCCCTTTTATGACTTGTGGACTTCCACTCCCAGAATTCCTCAGTCAGGCACGCTGGCTGAGGAATTCTGGGAGTTGAAGTCCACAAGTCATAAAAGGGCCAAGTTTGAAGACCCCTGCTCTATATCCTTATTGAAAATTCTTCTACTGCTATTTTGCCCGTATTATGAATGTTAAGAGCTTAAAAAACTAATGGTATGGTCAGAAGAACATCAAGCTACTTCTTGTAGATCTGGAACAGCTGTTTTGTGCTTAATTTGCCATTCAGTAAGAATGTCATATCTATAGCAGTGTATATGGGTTTCACAAATATGTGGAAATAATTTCAACTTACTGGAACTATTGTAGTATACAGTCAACTGTCCAAAGCATATTTTCTCTGAGCCACTGAAAACCTGACTGAAAAAGACTACAGTGGACTATAAGGAATTTGCCTAACCCACAAGCAAATACTACACAAATAAAGAATGGGCATCTGATACACTGAGTAATTTAAAAATGAAAGTGAAAACATACATGCCTGAGAAGTGAATACAGAAGGTAACTTCCTCTTGAGTTCCTCTACTACAAAATTCCCAGAATTATCTTTGCTTAGTTGAATGTTAAAACTAAACTTATTTGTTTTTATTTTTAATTGGGGGGAAAAAGGATACAATCCTTATACGGACAAACTGGACAATCTTTTATAATGACTGCACTGCTGTATACTTAATCCAGCAACTGAAAGAGTATAGCTTTTGCTTCCAGAAAGGACTGTGTTTGCTTTGTGCAGCAAAAACAGCAAAGGATTTTAAGTCACTAGAAAAACTAACCAAACTTGTTTGTATCAAAATCCACTGGCTCAGATCCCTACATCTGAGGAAGTGATCCATGGAATCTTATTTCATAATAAACCAATTTCCGTTTAAATAGCCACACGATTAGCAGATGTTTTAACCAATCATTGCTATTAGATGATAATATTTGTATATTCTCCAAAAAGCATATTAAAGCAATTCTTTGATGGGACCATGAAACAATATGCAAACTTTCGAATTCATATAAGAGATGGGATTGGGGGTGCCTGTAAAGAATGCTCGAGCAAGTTGTTGGATCCCCCTCAAGACTTTGCCTTTCTTTTTCTTGCTTGCAATAAATGCTGTCCTAGGTAATTCACCAGCTTCTCTGGCAAAGATCGGACTCTAATTGGCGAGCCAGATAAGTATAAACCCCATCCCGCGCATCAGGTAAGCTTCATGCCGCAAGACTCAAAGCCATCTAAGCACGGGAATCAAAACGACTCCCGGCCCTTCCAAGAAACGGTGCAATCAGACACCCGCTCGCGGAAACGGAGCATCCTCCTTTCCTTGTTAAAAGTCAGGAGGGCTCAGATCAGAAGAAGGGCCACGCTCCTCTTTCGGTTCCCGACAAAGAGCAACCTTCAGACTTCCTTACTGTGCGCCCGAACTCACCTCTTGATTCCACCTCGCCGCAGTGCCTTGTAACCAAAGAGCCAACTCTGTCCGAGCGTTCAGCTGGACCCGCCCGGCTGCCGGAGTTCTGGAAGAGGGATCCTCGCCAAATTCCTCTTCTCCGGAAGAATCTCCGATAGGGAAAGCGTGGGCTCCAAAGAGTAGCAGCAGGAGGGCAGCAGCAGCCCAGGAACAGCCTGATGAAAGAGATAGAAAAGAGGAAATGGAGTGAACAGGTCTTCCTCGGCCAAGTAGAGGCTCCCTTGCCCGATTTGTTTTAAACTTACATCCCGATAGTGCAAGCATAATCTTCTTGAGACTTTAAATCTTTTATTTCTTTTTCTTTTTGAAATAGGCAAGAAGCTTTGTAGTCTGGGTGGCTGAAGGGCTGAATGAGTGGTGCCACATTTCGAATCTACTGTATTTATTGAAAGGCTCCGGGAAAATCCATGGTTGGTTCACAGAACAGGTTTTTTTTTTTTAATACTACATCGCAGAGGAAGGAAATAGGAGTACAGCAAAAGTTCGTGCCCGGATCAGAATTCTTAATGGGCTTAATTTATGAAATAATTTTTTTGAAACTCATGGACATCTACTTTTTTTGTATTTTGGGAGAAAGAACAAGCTGTTGGGAGACTCTGGCAAAAATACTTATTTAAAAATCAAGTTTATTTGAAGAAGCTTTGATCTACAGCCATGCACATTTATACAAGAGTGAGCCTCATGGGAAGTGTAGGGAGTTACTTTTAAAGAGACTTAGAATACTTCGTTGTTTAAAGTAGCTGATGGTTTTATATGGGACAGAGAATAATGATGAAAGCGGTTCCTTCCAAATAAAATGAAGTTAAAAACCAAGGAAGGTATTTCTACAACGAATACAATTTGTTTAGTTTCATAAACCCAGACAATTGTGATTTATACATGAATAAAAAAATCAACTTCATGAGTGAACAGGATCTTTCTTGCTAAGCCAGAGTAAAGGAGGAGTGTTGGCTTTAAGATTGGTGTTAATGGAGCAAGGAAAAGATTTAGCCCTGTGATTCAATGAAATCACAAGAGTGCTTTTAATTTCTCTGTTCAATGAATGGCTGGCATTAATTACTCTAGATTAAAAAGTGTTTGGCAACTGAAAATGTTAAATGAACAAAATTCTCTAAATACTGGGCACCCTATCCTGTCTGAGTCTGCACATCACACTAAATGATACTATAAAGTAAATTATTTGGTTTAGGTTAGCATCTTATATGAACCCAGACCATTTGTGGATTGCGAATTATAGTACGTGAATTTGCATTATGTGTTAATCAGACTTGTTTAGTGAACTATAGTCAGTTATCAGTCAGCCCAATCTACACTTGTAACAATGAATAGAGTTTATGGATAATATTGCTATTTTGTTCTTGATATTCATTTCACTTATTTATTATTGTGGGTTTTTTCTTTTATGTTGTATGCCACCCAGAATCTTTTGGGATTAGGCTGGGTTATAACTATGATAAAATGAAAAAAATAAAATTCCTCATCTATTACTTTAAAATCATGACACTTATTATCATTTCAATCTTTGACTGGTTTTTGTATTTAAAATGTGACTCCAGCTGGAATGAAGTTGATTTAGCAAATACTGACTTGATTAGGATCATTTTGCCTATCTCTGTTCCATTCCAAAATACAAATCTTTGATGACCATAGTGGAACATATTAACATACTTTCGCATGTTCTCAAGCATGAGCTATGTTTTGCTTCCACTTTTGGAAAGAATCCTCATGTAAATTGCCCAGTGATTCAAAACTGCCAGAAGACAGAATCAGACCTGGTTAGTTTTTGGATGGGGGACTGCAAAAAAAAAAAAAATCCAGTTAGACTAGGAAGATCCCCAAATAATATAATGATAAATCAGAATAAAAGTCCCTTGAGTTCAGCTTCAGTCTTGGTCACTACAGAGACAACCTATATTGTTTTCTTGGCATAATATTTCAGTGGTTTGTCACTGTATTCTTCCGGGATCTTTCTAATCTAACTGGATTTCTCTTTTTGGCAGTCCCCCATCCAAAAACTAACCAGATCTGATTCTGCTTAACTTTGAAACCTAACATTAGCTAGGTGCCCTCTCTGAATAATAGTCTTTAAATCTTAATTGCTTATGAAATCTCTTAGATCATATTAATAATAACTTTATTGTCACTTTGAAAGTACACCAATCGGCATACATCAAAATGAAATTTCGTATATATTCTTATATGCTTAGTGCAATACTCTCCAAGTGTTAAGATAATCGATCAGAAACCTTCACAAAGAGCTTCCTGAAGGAAAATATGTTAAGGTCAGATGCAAGTGGATGCCAAAAGCTTCCAGTCATAAATATTGCACCTATCTTGGATTTCTATCTGTGTAAGAGGTCAGATTGCCCTGTTGTATTGGAAACCACCAGCCACGCAAGGAGGAGGGATCAAGTCGGGAGTTAGCTTTGATTCACTGTCCAGATGCAAGACACCTAGGACTGACTCCCACATAAGTTCCATAAAACTTTTTCTGTTCTCAAAGAAGGGCAAGCAGTCTGGGGAGTTTCTTGTATGATAGGTAGAAAACAATAAAATAGTCAACTTCAACTTTTCATGGTGGATCTGGTTACTTATGCTGACTGTTTTTGTGTCTTTGAGCCACTGTTGACTCCCTGCAGATTTTTAGGTAGGATTTCAGAAATAGTTTTGCCATTGCCTCCTTCCTAAGACTGAGAGACAGTGACTGGCCGAAGGTCCCCAGTTGGTGGGGACTAGAATTCAATTTTATAATTTCTAGCCTGATGCCTTAACCGATTTGGCTCTTCAGGTTGCCCTACTTTGTTCAAATATAAAAAGCCACCCTCCCTCTAAAAAAACTTGCTAAAAAACCTATTCATGGGGAGTAAAGAGACATTTCAGCTTAGAGTTGGTAAAAGGAGGAAACACCTGAGATCAAACCTGTAGGTCTATATTTGCCATTTTCCAAGGGAAGGCAGACAGTCTGACAAGATTCTTGTAATATAGGTGATCTACAATAAAATATATACTTGGACCTATTCACAAGTGATTCTGATTATTATTTGGTATATGGTGATGATACATTAGCCAGGAGACTACAATGCTATTACAAAGTAGTTGTTTGGCTGCTAACAATTGCCAGTCCGCCATGTTCATGCTTGCATGCTAGCCAGAGTATACCACAGGGGGGCAGACTAGCTTTACACACATAGAACCTGAGGACATCCTGCGTTTCATCTAGGGTTTTCCCACCACCAATGTCATGTCGCGTATGGGCAGGTTCAACACTGGTTGAATTTATACTGCTGCTCAAAGCACCGTTTTCCCCCCACTGAAATGGTACTTATTTATCTACTTGCATGTAATATGCTTTCAAACTGCTAGGTTGGCAGAAGCTGAGGCAAGTGATGGGAGTTCACTCTGTTGTTCACTGGAGCAAAGAATATCACCAGTGTCTTTAAGCCACTGAGCACCATGGTTCATGGTATTGATTGCTTTTGCCTGACAATGGCTGTGTTCATAAAACATGCAAAGCCATCAATTCTGGAAAGGATTAATGAGTATTTACATGCTGTCATCTTAGCATTATAGAAACTGTACAGAGCTAATTTACTTGAAAATTATCAAATATAGAAGATACATTGCTGCAGCCTATATAAAACTGGGTTCACATAATGGACTAAGACAGTTTTTCTCAACATGATCACATTCCAGTTGTGTGTGTTCCAGTTCCAGAAGGCTCAACTAGGATTATGTTGGCTGGGAGTTAAGTCTACACATCTCAGAGGCACCACATTTGGGGAAGTTGCCCTGGGGCATTATTTATTTTAACCATCGTTAACTGAACAAACCATAAAGCTTAGTTCATACATTCCAAATTACAGTGCAATCATAGTTTGGTACTGAAAAAAAATCATTGACCCCATGACTTAATGTGATATAGGAATTTGGTAATCAAATTTCACTCACAATTGATTCTCTTTGTATGTACAGTATTTAGTATCTTAGAATAAACAAACGGATATCAAGAGAAGCTGCCGTGTCTAACATACATAATATTAAACCATACCCAGATTTTAGGAGGTATTGCTTTCTAATTTAATAGAACTGACCTCTTAATTGGCTTATAAAAAGCTCCTGAAACACATCCTTTTAATCAGGTTCTAACTGTTGTTTTTAAATGTTATTTATTGCATATTTTAATAGAGTGATTTTAAATTTATTTATTGTTAACTACCAAGAGATTTGTTAGGTGATGCTATGATATCTTTAATAAATTCAGTATATAAAATAATGGTTTGATTTCATACAACTTACAAGAGCATAATGGGACCCAGGCATAGTATATTTTATTTTGTTTTATTATTTATTTTTCCTTTGTATTTGATATTTTTAACTTTTATTAACCAGCCTGCATCATCTGGTTGGCAAATGATTATATAAATTGAATGAACATATAAATAATATAGCATGTTTTATTTTGACTAAGTTTGGTTGACCATGATTTATAATTTAGTGTGTTATGCATATTCAACAAATAGGGTCCTCCAACATTGCAAAGAGACACTTTAGGCAGATCTGATCTTGGAGAATCTCTGCCAGTGAAAAACCATCATCAGAGACATTTTGTGGGATTTTATGGAATTCGAACAACCTATTCTTCCTGGCCATAGTACAAATAATCCCGAGTCTGACTTGGATCTTTAGGGTGGTCACACCTGGAGAGAGCTATTCAAATAGTCGGTGTTGCCCATTTTGCTTTTACCTACAATAATGCCTGAAAATATAATTGTTGGGTATATTTAATACCTATTGTACATTCATATATTTTAATATGTTGTTTAAAGCACTCTGCCTTAACTTGATATCCTTCAGATAGGTGGCTTTGTCGGTTGAGTATTCTGGGATTTGAATTCTAACATATCTGTGAAGCACAAATTTAGAGAAAGCTGTTCCAAAACCATTTTTATAGAAGACAGTATTCTTTGCAGGTGAAATAAGTTCAGATAAAATAAGATCTTCCACTGTTGTATTTCCACTGTTGTGTTTCATTCCTAGTCTCTCAAAAGCGGTTTTAAAATGACCTTCAACATCATGCTAAAAATACTGAAAAAAGGAGTAGAAGCTATTGGCGTAGACCCAGCCTTTGCACATCCTTCAGTAAAAATCTCATCCTTTCTCCATGCAAAAACCCTCTTGACCTGAGTTCCTTAGGGAGGTATGTGAAATTGTCAACCCTGTATTTCTTTTATGGGAATTGCTACAATGCCCAAAGCTCAAGAACTGGAAGGATGTAAACCTTTCTTCTAATGGTGGGAGGAATTCTTCAGAGCTCCAAGGTTT